TACTACAAGAAACTAAAAGAAAGAAACCTACAAAAATGGAAAGACATCCCATGATCATGGATTGGAAAACTTAATATCATGAAAATGTCGATTCTGCCTAAAGCAATCTACAGATACAATGCAATCCCAATCCTGATACAAATCCCAAAAATATTCTTTACTGAAATGGAAAAACTAATGACCAACTTCATATGGAAAGGAAAGAAACCTCCGATCGCCAAAGCAACACTGAAGAAAGAACAAAGCAGGAGGCCTCGCCCTCCCTGATATCAAAACATACTATACAGCCACTGTAATCAAAACAGCCTGGTATTGGTTTAATGATAGACACATAGACCAGTGGAATAGAATTGAGAACTCAGAATCAAACCCAGCCACCTATGGACAAATTATTTTCGACAAGGGGTCAAAGTCCATTGAGTGGGGCAAAAATAGTCTCTTTAATAAATGGTGCTGGTAAAACTGGGTATCCATCTGCAGAAAAATGAAACAGGGCCCATACGTCATACCATACACAAAAACTAACTCAAAATGGATAAAAGACCTATATGTTAAACCTAAAAACATAAAATTCCTGGAAGAAAACATAGGGAGAAAACTACGGGACCAAATCTTTTGTAAAAATAGGATAATAAGCATAACAACAAATGCATGAATAAAAGAATACAAAATAGATAAGTGGGACTTCATAAAAAAATAAAAACTTATGCTCATCAAAAGACTTTATTAAAAGAGTAAATAGACAAACTGTAGACTGTGAAAAAATCTTGTAAACGGTTTATCCAATGTGTCTAATCTTTAAAATCTATAGAAAACTGCAACAGCTCAACAACAAAAAGACAAACAATTCAATCAAAAAATGGGCAAAGGACATGAACAGAACCTTCACCAAAGAGGACATTCAAGCATCCAACAAACGTATGAAAAGATGTTCAAAATCATTAGCCATTAGATAGATACAAATCAAAACCACAATGAGATACCATCTCACCCCGGCTAAAATGGCACTGATTAAAAAACAAAATGAAACAAAAAACAGATAACAACAAATGTCGGTGAGGATGTGGGGAGATCGGAACCCTTATCCACTGCTGGTGGGAATGTAAAATGGTACAATCACTATGGAAAATCGTATGTTGCTTTCTCAAAAAAGTAGAACTACCCTATGATCCAGAAATCCCACTCCTAGGTATATATCTTGTTGTTGTTGTTAGGTGCCCTTGTGTAGGTTACAACTCATAGCAACCCTATGTACAAAAAAACAAAACACTGCCTGGTCCTGTGCTGTCATCATAATCGTTGATATGCTTAAACCCATTGTTGAAGCTACTGTGTCAATCCGTCTCCTTGAGGATCTTCCTCCTTTTTGCTGCCCCTCTACTTTACCAAGCATGATGTCCTCCTCCAGGGTCTGGTCCCTCCTGATAACATGTCCCAAGTATGTGAGACAAAGTCTCGACATCTTCTCTTCTAAGGAGCATTCTGGCTGTACTTCTTGCAAGACAGATTTATTCGTTCTTCTGGCAGTCCATGGTATATTCAGTATTCTTCACAAACACCACAACTCAAAGGCATCAATTCTTTGGTCCTCCTTATGCATATGAGGCAATTGAAAACACCATGGCTTGTGTCAGGTACACCACAGTCCTTAAAGTGACATCTTTACCTTTTAACACTTTAAAGAGGCTTTTTGTAGCAGATATGCCCAATGTAATGCGTAGTTTCATTTCTTGACTGCTGCTTCTGTGGGCGTTGATTGTGTATCCAAGTAAAAGGAAATTATTGACAACTTCAATCTTTTCTCTGTTTACCTTGTTGTTGCTTATTGGTCCAGTTGTGAGGATTTTTGTTTTCTTTATATTGAGGTGTAATCTACAATTAAGGCTGTGGTCTTTGATCTTCACCAGTAAGTGCTTCAAGTCCTCTTCACTTTCAGCAAGCAAGCTGTGTCATCTGCATATCATAGGTTGTTAATGAGTCTTCCTGCAATCCTGATGCCCTGTTCTGTTTCATATAGTCCAGCTTCTCAGATTATTTGCTCAGCATACAAATTAAATAAGAATGGTGAAAGGATACAACCCTGACACACACCTTTCATGACTTTAAACCACGCAGTATCTCCTTGTTCTGTTTGAATGACTGCCTCTTGATCTACGTACAGGTTCCTCATGACCACAATTAAGTGTTCTGGAATTCCCATTCTTTGCAATGTTATCCACAATTTGTTATGATCCACAAAGTCGGATGTTTTGCATAGTCATTAAAACACAGGTAAACATCTTTGTGGTATTCTCTGCTTTCAGCCAGGATCCATCTGACATCAACAATGATATCCATCATTCCATGTCCTCTTCTGAATCCAGCTTGATTTTCTGGCAGTTCCCTGTCAAGGTCCTGCTGCAACCATTTTTGAATGATCTTCAGCAAAATTTTACTTGCATGTGATATTAATGATATTGTTCAATAATTTCTGCATTCAGTTAGATCACCATTCTTTGGAATAGGCATAAATATGGATCCTTTCTAGTTGACTAGCCAGGTAGCTGTCTTCCAAATTTCTTGGCACAGACAAGTGAGCACTTCCAGTGCTGCATCCTTTTGTTGAAACATCTCAGTTGTTATTCCATCAATTCCTGGAACCTTGTTTTTTGCCAATCTCTTCAGTGCAGCTTGGACTTCCTCCTTTAGTAGCATCGGTTCTTGATCATATGCTACCTCCTGAAATGACTGAACGTCGACCACTTCTTTTGGGTATAAGGACTCTTTTTGTGCCTTCCATCTTCTTTTGATGCTTCCTGAGTCTTTCAGTATTTTGCCCATAGAATTTCTCAGTATTGCAACCCGAGACTATCCTCTGACATCACCCTTTAGTGAAATAACAGATGGCACACAAAATAAAGGATATTACCTATAAGATTGGTGCTCTAGTTAACAATCATAAGTATGAAACCTAAATGTCAACAATTATGAAAAGGCAAAGATGAGAAGACAAGGGGGCAGGGAAACTATAGTACTGGAAATGGCACAAACAGAACAAATTTAAAGAGAATGTTGACACTTTGTGATAAATGTAACTAATATCATTGAACAACTTGTGTGGAAATTTTCAGATGAGATCCTAGCTTTTTGTGTTAACTTTCATCAAGAACTCAATAAAATAAAATAATGTAGGAACAAGCAGTTGTAAGAATCTAACAGAATAAAAGAAAAAAATGGTATAATGGATTGAGTCATCAATGCCTTCTACTTTAAGGTGAAAACATATCTTTCTATTTAGGATGTAAAAAAGCATATAGTCTGTGAATTGAGCTCTAACCTTAAAAGAAGAATTATTGCCCTGGCTTAGAAAAATGCTTCATTATAAATTATGGTTATATTGCAAGAGCAACCTGAGCAAAGTTAAATTGACCGTACTTAAAATTCTATCTAATCCTTGGGATAGTATGTTGTTGTTGTTATGTGCCATGGAGTCTGTTCTGACTCATAGCGACCCTACAGGACAGAGTATAACTGCCCCATAGCATTTCCAAGGAGCGGCTAGTGGATTCAAACTGCTGATCTTTTGGTTAGCAGCCAAGCTCTTAACCACTGCACCATATAGTATGTAGTATGGTATAAAGAGCAATAACCTTGAAGACAGAACTCAGGGATTGAGATCACCCTACACTCTTATCAACGATGTGAGTTTAGGTAAATCCCCTCTCACATGCCTTATTATAAAATGGGAGGATTTAAAGGTCAGGCTCTAGAACCAGATGAGGTCCTCAGAGATTCCTTTCTGCTAGAAGGTCTTTGATAAAACAACCTTATGTGTCACACAGAAATCATTAAAATGATTAGTTATTCTTAATTTATGTGCATGGTTTTTAATCAAATGGTAAGAGAATAACTGTGAATCCTCAACAAATGTCACTAGAATATACGATGTAGATTAGACAAAATAGTGACCATTTTGTTCATGTGTTTGGTGTTGTTTTGTACATGGTGAGAAGTTTTGGGGAAGCAATTTCTAGTTAATTCATACTCTGATAGAGCTGAAAGGAATATATGAGGAAATTAAGGCACAGAGAGGTACAAGACATTCCAGGAACAAACAGTAGAACCACTATTCTTGACCTCTAGGTCTTTTCTCTATATGCTGCCTCTAGAGTTTTCACAGATATGTTGTTATCATTTTATTTTGTAAAGCTTATTTTGGCAGAGAGAAGAAAGAGTTTGTGGGATGGTTGATATGTTTTGATGTTGCTGTATGTAATATCTAAAAAAAAAATCTGTTTTTACTGTCATAACAATATGAGTTATCAAATGTACATTTTTTTCTTCATCATCAAAGGAGAAGCATCAGGCTGCTGTTAAGTAGTATCATTTTTCAACATTTATCTGACTAATAATGACCTTTCGGGTACTGTGTTGTACCTGTACCACAGGGTATATATTTCCAGTCAATGAGAATCTGGCTAGGGATTCACAGATTTATTACAATCAGATAGATTATAGGGATATATAAATAGGCTTAGTGGTCTTGGGATTTCATGAAAAAAAACAAAAATCTATCCACATAAATAATGTGCCATGAATGGAAAACTATTCACTGAGGTATTCAAGGGCAGAGTAAATAAAATATATAAATTATTTTTTCAAGGTTAAAAAAAAAAAGTCCTCATAAGATGGCTTACATCACAGCATGCTAACAAACCTCTACCTATACTGTCAAGTAAGATTTATCAGGGACAAGTCTTGTCCAAGTAATGTGTCGACAGTCAAACCTTATGGATAGATGAAGTGCCAAATTGCCTTGGAAAGCAGAGTCATGCCCAAGGATTAAATAAAAGATAATTTGTATTCTAGCCTTTGTGGCATCAAACTCTGAATTCACTTACTACTGCAATAATCAGATCATCAGCACTAGGAATGTTCAGCTTAGTTCAAAGTACTGACCTGCATTTTTATGGAGACTAAGTTTGGAGGGGATTTATGTACATATCCAAACAAACCTTTACCTGAGCAAGTTTGATTGGATTCATCTTCATTGTTGCCACAGTCATTAGCTCCATCACAAAGCCATCTCTTGGGGATGCAGCGATTATTCTGGCATTTAAACTGATCATCAGGGCAGCTATGATTGACTGGAAAGGGGACAAGGGAAGCAACTTTAATCATTTAATATTGGAGGAAACTGGGATTATTTGAATTATAGTTAGAGAAAAATTACAGTAATTATGATAACATTAGAGTACAATAAATGAGATAGTTTCTGTCATTTATTATCATGTTTTAAAGCAAATATTAGTATTCTAGGCTTTGCTAAAATGTAATACTTCTGTAAAGGACATCAGGTAATTCAATCTCATATAAAAGTAGATATATTCAGTTTTTCATGTTTTCACCCAAACCAACTACATCATTAAGTCTGTTCTTCAATACCTTAAAACAAATGACAACTCTATTTCAAAAAATTTTATGCCCAAAACATTTAAATTAACCCCCAAATTTAATGTTAAGCGTAACAAGTGTGCATTAAAAATAAAAACAATTTAATCACATATAACAAAAAATACTTCACTTAACACCACACATCCATTCAGATATTTCTTTAAATATTAAACAAGCCCAATTTTATTATGTTTTGTTGAATATTTCTTGAGACTAGAAGGAAAAACACAGAAAAGTGAATCACTCATGACCTGGAGTTGATGTCATATATGAGATCTTATATAAATTTAATAACAAAAATGATCATCATGAGTTTTCACCCCTAGTACAAACAAATAAAAAAGCAACCATGAAAACGTTAAGGACAGAGACCAATTCTCAGATGGAAGCTGTGCACAGCGAAGGATTAAACCTCCAATATCGAAGCACAACAGGGGGGCCATCTTAATGTTAACCTTCTATGATTATTTTTTCTGCTTTCTGGAGGCTAAATTCCTAACTGAATTGGCATGCTCTTCAGTGTTTGTTTCAAAACTTCAACATTCTTTATAAAGTAATTTTCCCTTTGCCCAGTTTTTCCACTTGAGTATGATAAAAATAAATTTTGTTATTAGTTTTACTTAGAATTTGAAAAACAGTCAGTTCATCATGCTGCTGCATAGCAAATCTGTGCATTTTCAGTCATTTTCTAGAAAACACTATTGCTTTTAAGTAGCTTTGGTGATAAAGTGGTTTTTATCACTTTACAGCAAGTTTTTTTCATGCATAACAGAAGGATGGGGGAAAGGCCTTGTATTTTCTGGCATTTGAGCCTGATTAACATTTTCTTCTCTCTCTGGGGACTTTAGCAAGAATAGCGAACCATAAGCAATAAAAGTCATCCAGTACATTAGAGGGTCAAAATTTTAAAGGGTCAAGCTTATGCATATCCACTTCAGTGATCAAGGAATTTGATCGAGGAACTTTATCATTTTTGTCAGTTATACAAATGGGAATTCAAAAAGGAAGAGCAAATACAATCCATACTCTTTTGGTTTGGAGTTGGGAAGTTAGGTGTACTTTTTGTGAAAGATAGAAACAGAAGTACAGAATTCAAGGTCACAGCTGGTAGGTATTTAAACCTAAAATAATCCTCTGAAATGACTTATGTAGTGCTAGAAGAATAGGCATGAGACCCCAAGAATAATAATGCTGTTCAGAATCCTTGCAATGTATAAAGAAGAGACCATACTGCTGGAAGGTGGGTGAAGATGCTTAATTCTTCATTGGCTCACTCATTTAGTCATTCATTCATCCATGTGCCAGGTACTGTGCTAGGCTCTGAGATGACAAAGATGACCAAGTCATAATGTGTCTCTTCACGGAGATATTAGTCCAACAGTTGCACAAGATAAGTAAAATAATTGAAATATGGCTTGCCAACTACTACGATAACAGAATGTACAGGAGATGAATGTTCAACTCTAACCTGAGCTGTATTGGGAAGGACTTTTTTGGTGCTCAAAGAAGATTTCCCTAAGGAGGTGATGGTAAACTAAGACGAATTCCATAGAGTGGGAACTGAGTGTAGTGTCACGGAGGAGAGAAACAGAAGATATGTTTTTGAGATCTACTGGTAGTTCAATTTGATCAAGCAAAGTAAGTAAGTGGATACATGATAGACACTTAAGGCTAAAAATACAAACATGGGACATAACATGAAGTACCTTATATGCCAGCCAATGAATTTAAGAACTTTTCCTGGCAGCTGTGTCATTATTGAAATAACAAGATCAGATTTAATTCTATGAAAACTTTCTTGAAGCAGTGTGGGAAGTGAGTCTTACTTAAGGAAGGAAGAGATATAGGAATCACAGCAAGGCACTTACTGAATTAAACTAATGGGAGCCTAATTTAGGTAATGAAATTTGAGAGGAGGTAAATGATCAAAAATTAATTCTCACAGAGGTAAAAGAAATAGGACTTATTGTTAGAGTGAATATGAAGTGTAAGTAAAAGAGAGGACTAAAGAAAAACTCATGGTGTAGTCTTCGTTGAGTAGATCGAAAGAGATGACAATAATAAAGAAAAAATACTGACTAGAAATTTCAACACTGTAATTAACACAACAGATATAGTGCCCCTACACACATATCTTAGTATACTCTGTCCTCCCAATTTAATGTTTCTGTGTAGCACTTTCCACCATCTGACATATTACATTTTAAAATTTATGGTATATTTCCCCCACTATCATATATTATATTCCCACTAGAATATAAACCCACTGAAGGCAAGTTCTGTTTGTTTTTTTCCTCTTCTGTTTATCTCAGAGCCTACAAGGATTCCTGGCGCATAATAGGCCTTCAGTATTTGTTGAATGAATGAATTAATGCTCTTTTCCGCCAACAGTAGCCACCAAACTAGACTTGTAAAAATTATTTTATCATTTGTGCAGGGTTTTAGGACATCTTTGCAGAAAATCCACTAAATAAAGGATAGAAGATCATTTCTTTACATGCAGTGTTGTTTGGAAGCAAAAGTTTGAATAGGCTCTCCTATAACAATATATTATTCTGATTTTCAAGTGTATAATTTCCCTCTTTTAAGCCATGAAATAAGCAAAATAAAACCATAGAGGTTATGAGGTCCCTTGTGAGTTGGTAGAATAAAACTAGCACACAAATGGAAGCATGGACTGGAAAGACTAATACATGAATATCATGATGAAAAATTGTGTTCTCCACCAGGCATTGGTTACCTTGTGAAGATGGAGAAAGCTTTATGTAGGAAGCACTCATTAAGACCATGAAAAACATGGTGAGTTTGGGGAGCGAGGCCAATAACTTCATCACTAAATAACATGTCATTTGTGTAAAAAAATGGGGAAAAAAAACCTTTACTATCAGATACTCCTGTCATCCCAAAACATTTGGGCATAGCCTTGATATAATAGTACATATTTTATTGTGAGGCTCATAATTTTCTGTGTAGATATTAATGGGATTGAAGATAAGAAACATACAATGCTCAAGAGAGGGTCTATATATGGTAATCAAGTGAAGGTTGTGCCATCTTTACATTATTTATCTATGAATAGAGAATTGAAAAATGTTTTTTAAATCCATATTTTTAGAATTTTTATTCCAGCAACAGATGGTTGCATGATATGGATGTCCAGACCAATTGTGCCAATTCTTTAACAAAGTATCTTTAAAAGTTTGTTTTTACATTCTTGAGTAAAAAAGAAAATGGAGAATAGTCAATTAACTTTTAGTTCATCCACTTTCACCTGGAATATATCACTAATTGACTGAAAAAAAAAATTTTCTTAAGGAAACTATGTACCTAGGTCAAATCCAAAGACAAAAGATTTATTTGTCTAATACATGCCTCTCTCCATATAAAAATATTTTAGTCTTCAAGACCACTCAGCTAATGACTCTAATCAAATATATTCAGAAAACATTATTTAATGCATTTCCCAAAATGCTTTCCTGGCATTTATGTAAAAAAAAAGAAAAATCTTGTTTCTACCACAAACAAGATAATATTTTTATTCCAGCAAAGGTTAAATGGCTGAATGGTAGCCAAAGCGAAGAGAAATCAAATCTTTTATTTCTGAGTGTTCCATATGTGTTTCCTACCATGTATGAGCCAGTGAAAGTTCCAAATCTACGTCTGTTTCCTTGGATCTCGACTGCCAAGGAGCAATTGCATGGATTGTACCTTCTGTACAAATAATTCTGTCTTGAGGGGGGTAAATTTATTGCCACATCTTCAAATTCAGAGATCCGAAGAAATCTCTTCAGCAAACTTCTGACATTGGAGTGATGCCAATGGCAGCACAAAACAGGAAAGGAGAGGATTTTTGGAGGATCCAAAATGATACTACGTTGGTTGGGGAAGGAGGAGAAAAATCATTGCTTTAAAACTTTGCAAAGGAGGTAATCTTACGTCTATTCTCCTTGCAAAAGGTTACTGAGAGAAAAACTGAGTTCAATTTTCATCAGAGATATTTTCAGGTTTTCACACACTTCTTCGATAACTCACACATTCAAAGACTCAGAAAAAAATATTTTTAAGATTACTTGAAGGAGAACTTACAGCAATTTACTGAATCTTCATCACTTCCATCTAGACAGTCATCGTCACCATCACATTTCCACCGGGCCTGGATACAGTGTCTGTTTTTGCAGCGAAATTCTCCAGTTTTACAGATGTGAGGTAATACTTCTCCAGGATTAACTAAGGTTATAACACAAAAACAAAAACAAGATATATGAAAAACGTTATCTAAAATCAGGGCATTAAAATGTTAATTCTGTTATAATAAAATATTGTCTCATTTCACTTTATAGAAAATAGGAAAACGTCTTAACATTGTAGTGAAAGTCATCTTTGGAAATGAGAAAATTTCATTTTTCTGGCAATAATTGTTCTGCTAAGAATTTTAAAGATTTACTTTAAACAACTGTAACCAAAATGATAATATTACCTTATATTTATATTGGTTTTATAGTTTTACTTTTAAAATAAGTTGCATTCATAATCTCAATTGACCTTCGCAATAACATACAAGATAGGCATGGCAAAGAATTACTAACTTCATATTATATATGAGTTCTCTGGGAATTAATCAAAGTGAAAAGAAGCAAAAATATACAGCACTGATGGTTAGATTAACTTTGTTAACCTGCCACTGAGAGGAAAAACTCAGGTCCAGTTGAGGATTCAAGAAAGTATTGAGTTAATTAAAAAAAATCTCTGTTATATATCAGGATTCTATGCAATAAGTATTTTTTCTCCATATATTTCATGTTCTCTAACTCAATCTGTATGCTGAGAAAATAATCCGAGAAGCTGGACTATATGAAGAAGGATGTGGCATCAGGATTGGAGGATGACTCATTAACAATCTACGCTATGCAAACGACACAACTTTGTTTGCTGAAAGTGAAGAGGACTTGAAGCACTTACTGATGGAGATCGAAGACTAGAGCCTTCAGTATGGATTACACTTTAACTTAAAGAAAGAAATCCTCACAACTGGACCAATAAGCAACATCAAAATAAAGGGATAAAATACTGAAGTTGTCAAGGATTTCATTTTACTTGAATCCACAATCAACGTCCATTGGCAGCAGTCAAGAAATCAAAGGATGTATTGCATTGGGCAAATCTGCAACAAAAGACCTCTTTAAAGTGTTAAAAAGCAAAGATATCACCTTGAGGACTAAGGTGTGCCTGACTCAAGCCATGGTATTTTCAATCGCCTCATATGCATGCAAAAGCTGGACAACGAATAAAGAAGACTGAAGAAGAATTGACATATCTGAATCATGGTATATGCAAAGAATATTGAATATACCATGGACTGTAAGAAGAACAAACATATCTGTCTTGGGAGAAGCACAGCCAGAATGCTCCTTAGAAGTGAGGATGGCGAGACTTCGTCTCACTTACTTTGGACATGTTATCAGGAGGGACCAGTCCCTGGAGAAGGACATCGTACTTGGTAAAGTAAAGGGTCAGTGAGAAAGAGGAAGTTCCTCAATGAGATCAATTGACACAGTGGCTTTAACAATGGGCTCAAACATAGCAACTATTGTGAGGATGGTGCAAGATCGGGCATCATTTAGTTCTGTTATACATAAGGTCGCTATGATATGGAGCTAACTGGACAGCACCTAACGACAACAATCAAATGCCAGGAATTTGATTAATTGGGAGTGATTCACAAATCAAAGGTGTTACAATTCTTCTGTGGAGTGGATTAGATAGAGTCTAGAAAAAGAGTATGTGGCAATAGTTAAAGTAAATGATTTGCATTTCATGGACTGAAAAGGCCTTGAATTTTCTGAAGCTGGTTTACTGCTAGTAGAATCAAAATCCAATCTTTTCATCCCAGCTTTAATGGCCCTAGGCTTTATTTTGGATAACTGGTTTGAGCTTGATGAACTGCCACAAAACTTTTATACACTCCAATAATAAGGGATACTGAGTAAACGTATGTGGAACTTCTTGAATGTTTTGTGTAGCGCTCCCTGAATCCTTGTTTCCTCCCAGAGGCTGGCTGCTACAAAGAATGGAAGAGGCAATGTGACTCCAGCACCATGCCTGCAGGGAATCTGCTTCAGAGTCAGGCAGCAAGGCATAAGGCACGTGGGTTCCTGGGACTGGAAGAGAAATGCTGCCACAACAGATTCAGACTCTTCTATTTAAGGCCTCAAGGGTGAAAAGGAATGAGTATGGCAAATAAAATATTCATTTAGAAGAAGAGTAATCCTGGGTCCCTTCTGTCTGCCCCTCAGACAAGGAGACACTGAATGCATGGACTGACAATAATTTTTCCTCCCTGTTTAACTCTAATGCTTTTCAGTAACGAAATGCTGAAGCAGCAATTTCTCTAACAATTTCATTTCTGTACATTCATTTGAAATGAAGGGATTTAATTAATAAATATAGATAGATAGTGGTTGTTGTTAGGTGCTGTTGAGCCCATTCCAAATCATAGTGACCTTATGCATAACAGAAGGAAACATTTCCTAGTCCTGTGCCATCCTCACAATCAATCCTTGCTATGTTTGAGCCAATTGCTGCAGCCTCTCTGCCAATCAATCTTATCGTGGGTTTTCCTTTTTTTCACTGATCCTCTGTTTTATCAAGCATGATATCTTTCTCCAGTGATCAGTCCCTCCTGATGACATGTCCAAAGTAAGCCATCCTAGCTTCTAAAGAGCATTCTGGCTGTACCATCTTCCAAGACAGGTTTGCTCATTCTTCTGGTAGTATCCTTCTCCAACACCATAAGTCAAAGGCTTCAATTCTTCTTAGGTCTTTCTGTTTTCATTCTATAGCTTTCGCATGCATATGAGGTGAAGGAAAATACCAGGTGCACTTTAGTCCTCAAAGTGACAACGTCTTTGCTTTTTAACACTTTAAAGTGGTCTTTTGCAGCAGAGTTGCTGTGTGTCTGTCCCAAATAGGAAATGAGCCAAATTAAAAGAAAAGTCAAATATCATTCAGTTTCCTATGTAAACTGAGGATGCCTTTTTATAGCAGACGTTAGGAATGAAGGATGGGAATCAAAGCAAAGTTCTCTGGGATATATATGACCATCTCTAGGATCAAACTTTTCTCTCAAAATCTCAACAGCTAATCACTAATAATATGCAAATTTTCCTTATTTTGAATTCGATCAATTACACTCCAAGATTTTAAAAGGTACACCTTTATATGCCCAGCTTAGAACTGGGAATTTAATAAATAGAGGTTTTATTAATCTTTATTCTACAATTATTAAGCCCAGTGATCAACTGTCTCTCAGATTCTTTCTTTTAAATTTCCAGCCAGAAAAGGAACCAGATTTGAGATGTAATCACCTTCTCCCACTTAGATTCAGCTTTAAGATTTTCTGTAGTCTTTCTATACTTCAAACAAATAATAAGTCAATCTGGTTGTTTCACAGCTTGAGTACTGCAAAACCCAAGAAGCCATTGGTTCTCTTTTGATAACAATCTCACCAATTCAAAAAGCTTGGCCTTCTTATGGACATTTGATCAATATCCCAACCCACAGTTTTTAGGAATGATCAAGAATAACCATGTACAAGAGTGAAATTATAGTTGTTTCTGAACAATTACACTCACATTAAAGAGTGAGGCTTCTAAAAAAAAAGACAAACTCTCTAAGGCAATTGATATTTTAAAACTAAATATCCCTTAAAAAAATCAAATCAGAAATAAGGTCTTTAGGTTGATACAGAGTTCATATGTTCTTCAGGAGATATTTGTGTCATTATGGAATGGATGCAAATAGGCAGAATTTCTAACCTGGCTTTAAATATGCTTTCAAATACATATGGATAGTTGGTTATTTTTAAGATCATGTTTGCTAATATAAAGGAGATAATTTTTATAAAAGAATGGTTACCCATTGCTGCTGAGTTGATTCTGACTCATAACAACCCTACAGGACAGAGTAAAACTGCTCCATATTGTTTCCAAGGAGCACCTGGTGGATGTGAACTGCTGGCCTTTTGGTTAACAGCCAAGCTCTTAATCACTGCGCTACCAGGGCTCCAAAAGGACGATGGCAGTTTCTAAAGCTGCATGTTCATTTTTCATAAGAGGATATGTACAATTGCTTGACAACCAGGAGACCTACTCTCCTGAGATAATTTCATCTTTTTATGTTTACTGCTTCTGATATTAACCTATATTAATATCGTTAACGTATATGAATGTCACACATAATAGTAGTTAGCCAACACCTGTATCTGTAATAAGAGATTTAATGAAACATATATAAATGTCTTGTGCCTTTTTACAGTTTGCCTGTAATGCTCTATGTCCTGTAATACGTTGGGCAGGAGGTGATTCTCCATGGCATATCTGTACATCTTGTATCAGTTTTGTTCTGGACTACTTTATTTTTTTAAGAATGTTTGTATGTTTAGCAGTCTTGGAAGACACAATACTTCCCTCTGGGTCAGAGAACAGATTTGTTTATTGACCAGGAGAGTAAAGATGCTATCTCTTTCCAAGGCAAAAGTTGGACAGGTTTGTTAGCAGACTGTTATGAGACTGGGGGTTTTCTAAACTTGGAGTTCTTCAGTTTTGATACACACTTATTACGTATGCAGCATCCACCTGGGCCTGCCTCTACATTGGCCCCCAGTGAATCTGTGAGGCAGGGGGCACCACTGCAAATGTGAAACTAACGTTGCCTGCTGGGCTATGAGTAAAAAAGTCCTTTGTGTCTGGAATCTCACGACTTCTGTGAGGGTCTATGAGACTTTGGCTGGCAACTAGAAGGCAAATCTCAGACCCTTCACAATTCTTGATATAATAGTAAATGATTTTGTTTAAGGTACTGGATTCTGATTTCCAAGTCTCCTAGGATATGAGGCATTGTTAGTTGAATCCAGACTTAACCCAAGCCATACAGACGTAATCAACCCTTATGTCACAAAGAAACCACATTATCATTGTTGACTATCAGGTTCAAGACAGGTTACCTTTTTTTTTTATTGTACTTTAGATGAAGGTTTACAGAGCAAATTAGTTTCTCACTGAACAATTAATACACATATTGTTTTGTGACAATGGTTGCCAACCCCACAACATGTCAACACTCTCCCTTCTCAACTTTGGGTTCCCCATTACCAGCTTTCCTGTCGCCTCCTGTCTTCTTGTCCTTGCCTCAGAGCTGGTGTGCCCATTTAGTCTCATTTTGCTTTACAG